ATATATATATATATATATATATATATATATATATATATGATTACTTGGTGTGGCAATCAAAAATGGGTTCCACCAAGTCTAAGCTCTAAATCCAACCCACCTTCTTCCTCCTCCCCATTCCCTTTCACCTCCTCGTTCTGATCACCAAACACCCTCATTCTCCTGCCCTGCAACCCAAACTCTTCATGCTGATCCTCAACAGAAGCTCCACCTCCAGAAGCACCAAAAGAGGAGGAAGAATAGAAGGAGAAGTGAGGAAGTGAGTCCCCATGATTGTTATACCAGCATAAGCCATGATCGTTCTGCGTGTTCAGCTTCGTCTTCTTCGCTTTATCCTTGCGATGGATGTTCATATGGCCGCCTAATGCTTGCGCCGTGGAGAAGCCGCGCTTGCAGAAGATGCAGTCGTAGGAGCGGCGGGTGATGGGAGCTTCCATGGATTCAGAGTGGAAGGAGAGGGAAGAGAAGTAGATGGTATAAGAGTAGCTGGATAGTCTGTGGTGGATATATGATGAAAAAGACGCGGTTTTTGCAAAGGTGAGGCCTTTTTTTCGGCCGGCTTCCGAAAGTTGGATGGGGTTGAGATTTGATGAAGTCAAAGGAACAGTATTTTAAGCTTTTTTTAAGTTTATTTTTAAGTTGACTAGGGAAAGTCAAAGGGAAGGTATATAGATTTATGTGGTCAGTATTGAATTTAAAATATATAGCTTTGGTTGTATTTTTAATATATATATACATATATATATAATATATTTTATGTTATATACTAGGTGCATGGTTTATTTTATGTATGTCATAAATTTAAGGATTTTGGAGGTCTTTGTATGTCGATCCCATATCCTGTGACTTCCATCAATCCTTGACGTCATCGGCATGTCGTTCTTGCCGAGATAGCCATAGAAGAGGTGACGTGGCAGGAATGTCACGTGTGAAGTGTGTTTAGTCCTAATCACGACTCGCGAGCCTAAGATGGTGAAGATGATCACCTGCACTAGAGGGAGAAGAAGAGAGATTGAGGGAGCAGAGAGGGGACAAATGTGATATATATATGTAGGTATTTTTTAGGAAAGACAGTGGATGAGAAGGTGACCTGATGGTTGAACATTTTCTTCTGTGGTGAAAGATCTCATGCTCAAAAACTCATCAATCAAAAAACAAAAAAGAGTTATTTGATTCAATTTATGAATAAAATAAGTGTGGGATAATTTATGGAGTGGTTAGGGAAAATATGAAATGCATATTAAAAAAAAATTATTTGGACTAATTAATATATGATGAAGATTATATGATAAAAAAATTTATAATTTATAACATTTGATCATTAATATATAATCATCTTTTAATTACTAAGAAAATAAAATGGTCACACATTCATACCTCAATCAATATATTCAAACAAATATTTTATATAATGATAGATTGAATTAATAAATATTTAAAATAAAATATATTTGAGCATTTGATATTTAAGAATAGTTTAGTCAATAATATTTTTTTTTTAATTTCTTTTTTTATTGAAGGTTATTGATAGGTCAAATATATGAGAAGCAATTCAAATAAAATAAATTTCAATTTAGATCATTAGCTCCAATTCATTAATGCATAGTTTTTATTTAAATAAATATTTTTAAAATATAAAATTATTTTCAATCTAAGAAAATGATTTAGGTCAGATGAATTTTGAAATTGTTGATTTTTTAAATAATCTAATATATAAATAGTTGATTAAAATTTATAGATAACACATCCAAGATTAAATTTAATTAGTTAAAATTTCATTTTTATTAAAATTTAGATTAGTTATTCATAATCAAATTTTTTTTTATGTTAAAAAGTTTTACAAAAATAGAATTTGCATTTATTTTTGTATATGCTAATCTATTTTTTATTTATATAAACCTTCGGGGCTCCCCCATCAGGCCCGTTCCAGACGACCAACCGCCGGGCGCCATGTCGCCTAGCTCCGATGTGGCGCCCGACGATTCGCCGTCCAGATGTGCGGTGTCCAAACACAAAATTTTCTCGTGGATCAAAGGCTATAATTGTGAAGAACGTCAGTTAAAATATTATTAATCTTATCAATATTTGGTAAAAATAAATTATAAAGTTTTTTTTTTATTCATTTTTTCATTTGCAATGTAAGAGTTCATGAAATAAATATATATTTCTTAAAAATACAGTCATACCTCAATCAAAGTGGAGTAGACGACAACCGCATTCCTTCTCCTCTCAAAATCGCGAAAGGGTTTCGTCCGCGAGAGCTTAGGATTTATTTTTTGTCTTCCTCTTCCGAGTTCCGAGTCATCTTCCTCTTCCTCTTCCGACTCATATCCTCCAATTTCGAGCTGAACTCGAGCCAAACTTGAGCCGGAAAATATTATTCGAGTCGAACACGAACATATCATTCACGATGCATTTCGAACACGAGCCGAGCCTTACAGCCCTAAAAATTGTGTGACATTTACTTAAATTCCCCAAAAATATACGTAATTGAATCACTTCAATTAAATAACACACACACACACACACACACACACACACACACACACACATATATATATA